AATAATCGGGATAATTAAGGTTTGAATTCGACCTTTTACTTAGAGTACCGAGGTTCGTATTCGACCCCGGCTTTACGTGGGCGAGGTTCGTACTCGACCTCGCTTCTTAATAATCGAGATAATTAAGGTTTGAATTCGACCTTTTACTTAGAGTACCGAGGTTCGTATTCGACCCCGGCTTTACGTGGGCGAGGTTCGTACTCGACCTCGCTTCTTAATAATCGAGATAATTAAGGTTCGAATTCGACCTTTTACTTAGAGTACCGAGGTTCGTATTCGACCCCGGCTTTACGTGGGCGAGGTTCGTACTCGTCCTCACTTTAAAATAATCGAGATAATTAAGGTTCGAATTCGACCTTTTACTTAGAGTACCGAGGTTCGTATTCGACCCCAGCTTTACGTGGGCGAGGTTCGCACTCGACCTCGCTTCTTAAGGTTCAAATTTGACCACTTAACCACAAGATCATTCACGGTCCTAAGCATGGAGCAAGTGAAGGAAACATCAATCTCCTCACCTAGTTTCATCATGTCACGAGGAGCTTCGCGACACAGGCTGTCTACGAAAGGTCCGGGCTTGAGGGCGATGAGCATGGCATGCAGTGCGACTTTGGGATTCAAATTCTGAATCTTGACCGAGATGTCGGCGACGCGCTCCATGAATGTCCTTAGCGATTCATCGTCGCCCTGCCTGAGACTGGCCAAGGCGGCCGATGTGACATGGTGAGGCCGACTCGTGGCATACTGAGCGTGAATTGCTTGACCAGAGTGTGGAAGTTGTCGATCGACTCAGCCGGTAATTAGGTGTACCAATTGAGTGCGGCCCCCTTGAGCGAGGTCAGAAAAACCCTACACAGAATAGCATCCTCATTAGTGTAAAGGTTTACCTGCATAGTGTATAGGTCGATGTGTTCGTCCGAATCCGTCGTGCTGTCGTAGCGGTCGATGTGGAGAGGCTTCCAACCGAAGGGGAGAGGTGTTTCCATGATGTCGTCCACAAAGGGATGGCAATGGAAGCTTGCCCGATTTCCAGAGACCTGGGCAGGAGCGTTGCTGATTTCGTGGGGTGACTTGTTCGTCGGTGCGTGAGACCGATGTGTAGCGGGTCGGGGAGTCGGTGCCCTAGGCGCAGTATGTGGTTGAGAGACCGAGTGCCTCTCCTCCTCGTGTTGGTTACTCGGTGGAGGGGGTTGATCAAAGGGGCACCGAGGAAGCTGAGCTCGAAAGCGCTCATTCTCGGCACGTAGCGCCACTAGGTCAGCCTCATTTGTGGTTCGTAGTGCCGCTAGGTCAGTTTCGTGCTTGGCACGGATATTTTGTAGATCGGTGGTGTGTTACTACCGCATTTGTTCGACCTGCTCGATCAGTCTTCTCAATGCTACTTCATTGTCCATGCTTGGCGTGTGATCGACGTCGTCTGTTGCTCGTCTACTATGGCTTCGCGGGAGAACCATATGCGTGGCCGATAAGAGCTGTCTTGATCGGCCCCACGGTGGGCGCCAAATGTTCTTACCAGAGATCGGTCGTAGGGGACAATCTGCTGGGTAAGATCGGCGAGCCTCCTTCACTGATACGCTTGTTGCTCCAAGATGGGGGTAGTACCTGCAAAAGAGACTCCGATGCTAAAGTTAGTGTTTGTGGGTGTATGAGTCTCGTATAAGTAATGCACATACCTTTGTGTGAATTAGGGTTTCATTGGGCCTTGGGCCTAAGATCAGTTATAACTTATTTGAATGTCGGGTTGACGTCGCCCAGCACGCATCCGAGGTCATTTTGTGCTGTGATGCCGAGCTCGAGCTCGGCACAACAGTACGAATAGTACAAAATGCATTTGTTTCTCTAAAAAAAACAAAAACAAAAACAAAAAAACAAAAAAACAAAATAAATAAAAAAAACATTTTTTTTTCATTTCAAATTCTTCATCCAACATTTTTCTTTTATACATGCATTTCATAGTAAAATAAAGGTCTAATTGATTGCTCATTCATTTCATTTTAAAAAAACAAAAACTATCTAATTTGATTATTTTCTTTTAAAGGGGATGCCAAACAATAAATTTATGCAATGTCTCAAAAGAAAAAGAAAAAAGCAGGAAACAAAGAAAAATGGGGAATAACATGAAATTGTTGTTCTCACTTACATTTAATTCTCAATCGAGAAGATGAGCTCTTTGACAATTTAACTTGTCAATTGACATGATTTTAAAATCATTGTTAACCTTTTGAAATATTTATTTCATTAACTTGCATAACAAGTTGTGTTGTTATCTTCATTGTCATAAATTGTCTTTGTTTCATTACATCTCATAGTTTTCTCATTATTCTTTCAAAAAAAAAAAGAATTTTTCCTCATAAAAAGTCAAGTCTGTTGGATGATTCTCAATTAGCAAGTCTGACAACAGAAATTTGAAAATTTCTTGTCGCGGCAAATTTATCATTTTATGAGTATTTGTCCAACCATCTACCACATTTAATGGAGACAAGTCTTATCAGCAAAAAAAAAAGTGAAAAAATGTAAAGTCCGTTAGACTGAAAACCCAAAAAGGCGGTCTAAGCAAAAGTTAGGACAAACAAAAAAAAGAAAGGATTAAAAAAAGGAGTAACATGGAGTCCATTAAGTTTTGTCTTAGGATTAACCTTTAAAAAATAAGCAGTCAAGATTTGAAATGATATATGACCATGTTTCTCTATCTCCAAAATATATATATATA